TGACGACCTGGCAAACAGTTATACCGAGCAAGTTACGGGAATTTGTGTTGCGCCAGTCCCATGATACTTTAACAGGAGAATATCTCGGAGTTAAGAAGACACTGAGTCACCTACGACAGAGATTTTACTGGATAGGTATGTGGCAAGATGTGGAAGAATGGTGCAGGACCTGCAGTATATGTTGTGCTAAAAGGAGACCCAAGCATAAGGGACGTGCTCCAATGAAGTTATATCAGGTTGGTGCACCAATGGAAAGAGTAGCCATTGACATTGCCGGTCCTTTGCCCCAAACTCGTGCTGGAAACAGGTATATTTGTGTGGTGATGGATTATTTCACCAAGTGGCCTGAGGCATATGCAATACCAAATCAGGAAGCTACAACTGTAGCTTCAGCTATTAGTGATTTCTTCTTCAAGTTTGGTATGCCATATGAACTGCATTCAGATCAAGGCTGTAACTTTGAATCAGCTGTGTTCCATGAATGTTGCAAGTTGTTTGGCATACGAAAGACCAAGACAATGCCACTTCACTCAGTCTGATGGGATGGTAGAAAAGTACAATTAGACACTGGAATAGGAACTGGCAAAGTTTTATAATAGCCACCAAGGTTACTGGGATGTCTTACTTCCTCCACTGTTGATGGCCTATAGAACAACAGAGCATGAAGCCGCTGGATACACTCCAGCAAAGCTGATGTTTGGTCGGGTACTTCAGTTGCCAGTGGACCTTATAACGGGACACCCACCTTATGAAAAGTTGCCTAAAAATGTGCCAGAATTTGTGAAAGTGTTATCTGAAAGGATGGATGATACTCATCATCAAGTGCATTCAAACTTAAAAATGTCTGCTGATTCCATGAAGCTATGTTATGATAAGAGATCTAACGAAGTCAGCTTTGTACCAGAAGACAAGGATTGGTGGTATAATCCCAGGAAGACCAAAGGGAAGTCTCCTAAGTTGTCTTCTTCATGGGAAGGCCCATATGATATAGTGGATCATCACTCTGACATGACTTTCCGATTAAATGTGGTGGCAAGGTAAGCCAAAGGTGGTGCATGCCAACAGGCTTTGGCGTTATCATGGTCCAGAACATTTCAGTTGGAACGAAGT